TTCACATTGTAGGTACACAGACTCTATGGCATTCACATTGTAGGTACACACACTCCATGGCATTCACATTGTAGGTACACACACTCCATGGCATTCACATTGTAGGTACACACACTCCATGGCATTCACATTGTAGGTACACACACTCCATGGTATTCACATTGTAGGTACACACACTCCATGGTATTCACATTGTAGGTACACACACCCCATGGTATTCACATTGTAGGTACACACACTCCATGGCATTCACATTGTAGGTACACACACCCCATGGTATTCACATTGTAGGTACACACACTCCATGGCATTCACATTGTATGTACACACACTCCATGGTATTCACATTGTAGGTACACACACTCCATGGCATTCACATTGTAGGTACACACACTCCATGGTATTCACATTGTAGGTACACACACTCCATGGTATTCACATTGTAGGTACACACACTCCATGGCATTCACATTGTAGGTACACACACTCCATGGCATTCACATTGTAGGTACACACACTCCATGGCATTCACATTGTAGGTACACACACTCCATGGCATTCACATGTAGGTACACTCACTCCATGGCATTCACATTGTAGGTACACACACTCCGGCATGGCATTCAAATTGTAAGTACACACACTCCATGGTATTCACATTGTAGGTACACACACTCCATGGCATTCACATTGTAGGTACACTTACTCCATGGTATTCACATTGTAGGTACACACACACCTCCTATTAGCTTAAAATTACCAACCATATTGATGTATTGTTTGATCCAGTTTTGTAGTCATCACTGATTGTCCAATTTCATTGACTGAGGCATCTACTTTAGATAACAATCTAGTAATAACAATTGATATGAGTTAACAAATGGTGACAGAATTCATCACAAACAGTTTGTCAATTCATAAAACTACATTGCTTGAATTAAGAAAGCAACTTAATACATGCATGACCAATTCATTTTTAACCATAATCAAAAAAGCTTAGAAACGAATAAAATATTTGCACCAAGTTTCTTCAAAATCCAAATCCTCTTTAGATAAGGATTCCTACAAAAAAAAATGGTTCTTGATATATCAGTGGAACAGACGAACACACACCCACACACACATACAGATGCACTAACTGCAAAGACTCCCATTGTGTTGTCCACATACGGGAGTCAAAAACTCCAAAATTCTACCCAGACTCATAAAATGGTTGTTTTACAACGAAATGTTATCGGGTCGAAAGAGTGAGGTGAATAGTGCAATGGCATGGAATGAGTGTGCGAAATTAAATAATTGAAATACCGGTACATGTAAATAACAATTGATAAAACATTTAACCAATGTTTTGATTTATTGTCATGACAAGTATTATATGTTCTGTTTATAATTTAAATAATTAGAATTAATCAAATATTGGCAAATTTGGTTGTATTTGCTGCATTGTCACTTAAATGTTATGTTGTCATTGGCTGATTACTTTCACTATTTGAACAGTTATTTTGATCTTTACGTTAAACAAACAACCGTGAGGTAATTTTTCTGAATCTAGTCTATGATTGACTACACATAAACCCATGACTGTTCTATAAGATCACAATAAATAGATATTTTGAGGTGGATCCTCCATGAAGACAAAGCATATCATTTGTTCTGGAAACCTGGAAACTTAGTAAGGACATTTACCGTGTCCACAATCCAGAAGTGATGTCTGTAGCTCTAGTAATTGTAAATGATATTGTCCCTGCCAATATTAGAACCACTAATGACATTACATGTCTTATAGTTCATCATTTTACCTACTTTTAAGTAATTTTTGAACCAGATGAACATAAACTACAGGTCTTGATAACAGTTTTGTAAAAGATATGAAAATGGATTTATTTTGTGAATATTGATATAAGTTAATATTGATATAAGTTGACTTTGGCATTCAAATTTAAAATATCAATACACTATACCTTTCAGCAATATCATAGGACTCTGGATGTATCCATGTCATATCTAAAACATTCACTACAGATGTCGTATCAACTTTTCTTTTCTTTGATTTACTCTCTTTAGTTGAAGTAGTTTTTCTTTTAATACCAGCTTTCATGTCATGATTGGTTTTTTCACATACCACAGAAGACCTGTAAGAAATAATGGTTTTTTTTTGATAAACAACAAAATCCATTTTGAATGAACATGACCAGTATGTACCATGATAATTGATAATGTTCTCGATTATATCAAGTAAGACATAAAATTATCAGACTGAACACAATGTGATGATACGATGTAACAGTGGATAAGACCACATTACAGAATAGAAAGCTAGGTGGGAACATTTGATGCAGTGCTTCTATTATAACTGTGTACTCACCCTTGTTGCAATCCAATTGTTTCTGGATTAATTCTAACAAATCCAGCACATTGTTCATAACTCTTTGGTCCTAATCCTTTGACTGAGAGCAACTGTTCTCTGTTAATGAATACTCCATTCTTTTGTCTCCATTCTATTATTTTGCGAGACTTAGTGACAGATAATCCAGCTATTTTACTACAAAATAAATAAGCATTTAGGCTTTAGGTACAATAACATAGCAGAGTCTACAT